GCTGGGCTTTCAGGTGCTCGGCACCTTCTCCATGGCTTTGGAGGATTGGTTGTGGAAGGGTTCAGCATCTTTCAGTGCCTCGGTGAAAATTGAGCTGCTTTGAAAAACTGACCGCAGGGATGAGTGCCAAAACAGCACAAACCCTGAGGATGGAACAGTTGCGCTGATTTTTCTGACATAATTAACTTGTGGTCCCGCTCCTCCCTGCTAGGACCTCTTGGGGAAGGAGATCTGGAGTTCCTGGGACATGCTTGGCGTTTTGGAGGCAGAGCCCAGCCCAGAGAGACGTCAGCCACTTCTGCCCCCGAGGAGCAGCTCGGAGCAGGGATGGGACAGCAGAGATGTTGGTCTTGAATCTCCGTGTAAAAAAACCTTCCTGTTTCCCCCTGGGGACGGTTCCCAGGGGTCCCCGTGAGGCACTGCTTGCCCCCAATCCTTTTTTATCAGGTTACCCAGTGCTGCCAGGGCTTGTCCTCCCGGAGCGAACCGTGCGTGTGCGGCTCAGCCCTGCTAATAACGGCTGCGTGTGTTTTTCCAGTCATTAAGCGTATGACTAATAGAGTTGTCCTGGCTGCATAATGCACGCTGACAACAAGGAGCCTCAGGGGAGGGGAACAGAAATAGAGGGATATGAAGAAAATGGCTTAAATTTATCCCTCGTCCAGTAGATGTGTTTTCCCTGTAGGTGTTACGTCCCTGCCGTGGTGGGGCGGGAGTCTGGGGAGCCGAGCGTTGCCTTCCGCCGCCCTTCCCGTTGGAGCTGCCTGAGGCTCTGCGTGTCCGTCTGTCTGTCCCAGGCCACCCCATGCAGCACAGAGGCACTCTGCGCTGGGCTGTGCCCCTCTGCGGGGGATGCCGTGGGCTGGTCCCCGTGGGTGTACTGTGTGTTCACTTCGGCTCTGGTGTCACCAGCACAGGCTGTTAGTGGCACCGCTGGCTGGTGGGAGTTTGTCCCACTGCCCCATGCTGAGTGTGTGCTGAGGAAGGGTTTGCAAACCTCAGCACTCACAGGCAGGTCCCCGCTGCCTTCACCCTGCCTGCCTGCTGCCCGTGCATCACCGCCTGTCCCTGCGCACGTGTGCCTGGTCCAGGGCAGCACCTCCCCATCGGGGTCCCGCAGACCCACCTGCCTCCCACATGAGACCTCTCTGCAACAGGATGCGGAAAAATGCCTTTAAGTTTCCTTTTAATAGCTCCTGTAAATCTTATTTTATGCTAAAGCTAAAGACACATTTATTATTGTCATAAAGGAGGAAGAACTGGTGAGTCCCTGACTGGCCCCAGACTGGGTGACTCGGGAAGAGCAGAGGCAGCAGGTTGAGGGCCGTGGTTATCCCTCACCATTTGGCACATTCAGGGACACGTCGATGACACCAGGTGAAAACCTCCGGCTGCTCATGGGATGCAGTCCCCCATGGCCAGGACGGGCTCGAGGAGAGCAGCCCGTGGAGCTGTGGGTCAGGCTGGGGCACCAGGCTGAGGATGTGTGTGTCTAAGCGCTCAGGCGCTGGTTTTGCTCCAGCACCTTCCGTGCCATAGGAAGCCATACAGGATGTTTTTATTTAATATTTTTAAACCATTGCACAGGCGATCTCTATCCCAAATCCCAGCCCAGAGGTCAGTGGAGAATTGGCCTTGCACCTGCAACCTGAAACCAGCTCTGCCTGGCTGGCGAGCCTCACGCTGCGCCACTAATTGAAGGGTTTGGGGGGTTGTTTTTTCTTTTCTACTTTATTTTGAGATGCTGTTTTGAAAAGCACGGCCAAGAATGGGAATTTCATGCGGTAAACAGAAAAGCTGTTCTGAAGTTATTTATTGGTTCTGTTTTCCAGCACGTGGACTCGTATTGATTTATTTTGCAGTGTCTCCAGAGGCTTCTTCAAGGTTAAAATGTAGACATCGCATGTTAGGCTGGACTAAATGCTGGCAGGAAAATGCATTTGGCTTTTTTAATTGGAAAAACATACTCCTTTTATCACCCTGAGGCCAAGACTCTACCACAGCAGCACAGGGAGAGCAGAGGAATGTGTACGAGTGGGAGATGCTCTGGTTCACGCCTGCCCGGGGGATTCGGTGGGAGCACAGAGGGCCCTACCACTGCAGCCAGTGCTGGGGTCCCACCGGCCACCGAGAGCAATTCCCCGGGGGATGGTGGGGACCAGCGGCCACCCCCCGCAGGGAAGTTGGAGGTGA